AATTATTTGCTTGATCCCTTGCGGCCTCAACTACTACCCAAGCCACGTCGCGTTCATAGGCGCCGCAATAGCTGTAATCTTGATGGTCTCTTGCCTGGTAATCCTAATCCTGAGCTATCCGGTTCTCATCAAACTAGACGGTCGGGAAGGCAAAATTTACCGCTGTCAACAATGGCCACAACTGATGTTGGGCGACGCCAACTCACCGGCCCCTTGTCTAATTTCGGAGCTGGCTCAGGATTATCTGCAGACCGCATGCTCCTGCTTGGCGGCTTCACCAAACACCTAACTCCTAACTGGCCCCGCCAATTTGCAACTGGTCTCCTCCTGCCTGGTCGGAGGGCACCAGGCTTTCCTAGTTTAGGGCTACCTGAGGATAACAATTTTGCCATGCTCAATCCCATGGTTCAACCTGCAGAGACATACGCTCGTTTTGGCATGGCCTATGCTGCTAATGGAAGTAGCTCGCGCCGACCGGATTCTGGTCAAGTTCAGCCGGGCTATTATCGTGGCCCCACAGCAAACTGGAGATCAGGACGGCAGCAGGGATCTGGTCAGAGCTCAAATTTACAGCGCACGACTAGCGGGTGAGTTTTAACGTGATTACCCTTATTCATAATTGTAAGTAAAAATCTTTTAAGTAATTCGTAAACGTATTTGCTTATATATTGCGTGAAAAATTGCCATCTTCATATCTGTGAATACTTAATTACGATACTAACCTCTCGCAAATGCTTTTCCTAACTGCCTTAAGACACTGTCATACCTCACCCTTATTTATAACTTCACGTGTTTATTAAACCTGTATATTTTGAGCTAGTAGTCAGGGTCAGGTTATTGATATATTTTAAAATGTATGAAAGTTCGTTAAATATGTTTCAGACTATAAATACTTCTTCACCATTTTGCTTTTTTTAATTTTTTTATCTACAGAGGTAACCGTCGTCGGGTTGGGAGCAGGGGTGGTGGAGGTTACATTGACCTCGATGCCGTCTAGTCAGTTCCGAGTCCGCAGAAGAAAATTTTTATCTTTTGTCTGCCTTCACTCTTGTCATATTAAAATCTTTTTCTCATCACTATATTGCTTCTCTTATTTTAGGTCTGATTGCCTATATAGATTGGCTTTTCGTTCGCAAACTAAATAGTCAGCTGCAGTATTCTTTCCGTTTCTTCAAGATTGAGATAATTGCACTTTTGGTTGAACGAGTTATTTGTATATTATTACTTGTGTACTTGGTTAAGTCTTCATTCAGTTACTTGTTTAACACCTTTATATATTTACTTAAGTTTTTGAGCGGACCTTTTATATTCGATTGATTTAAGGATATTAAATCAGATCCTCTTGGGGTTGTAATTGGGTCCAGGTACTAGTAGCAAGTCCTTGCTGATCAGAAACCTTTGCCAAGCTTTTATTCTACCGATTGTCCAGTGAATCTTAGTGCATATTGCGACCAGTTAATTGCTAAATTACTTAGTAACGTTATGCCTAATAGGGAAATAATCTAAGTTCCCTTTGACTAGTATTGTCTTTAGATTTGTCCTTGAGTCACGGAGCAGATGTGAATTTCAAGGAAGGCCAGATTTTTTCCATATCACATTCTTTGGTGGGATTGTCGACAAGGCAAACGTATTTTTGCTATAAAAATCGGCTACATTTCTTTTTGTCTATGGATAGTTTCGAGACTATCAGTAAATCGGTTATATGACCCAAGGGCAATCGTGGCAGTGTGGCCAAAGGGCTAATGTACTAAGCTTATATTTTGCACTGTCACGGTTAGACTCGTCCTAGAGGTGTTGAAAGAACCTAGGCGAGGTCGAAACTGCAGTCCATCCTGGATGCGAACAACTTTTGGAAAATAAAGCTATGCGAAATTCAATGGAAATGTCAGCTCTACTCATATCATCGCCGGAAAATTTTACTACAAATCCTTCCGTCACCTTAAACGAAATGGGGTGAAGCATATATGCCTTGGTGACGGAGGTGCATTAACGGGAGGATATCTGTAAAGGGACGGACTACTTGTTGGGGCGGTGACCCAGAGTAGGAGCTCAAAACAGATGATAAGCGTTCGTGAAATCTCTCCTGAGGCAAAGTGCTTCTGATGAACAATGGCGGTTGTATGCTGACTCGATGAACCGGCCGCTGGAACACTACCTGTGACAGACACTATTTATGCGCATTACTTACGCGGACGATGATTATTAGTCAGTAAATTTTGAATGGCTGTACTAGGTCTGCCTCGATTTCATATTGGAGAGTATTAGGCGGACATTGACTGATATTAGCTCCGGCCAATGTATATTGGCTAAGAGTTTGCCTAAGCACTCCACAGATTATATACCTTTAAATGAGGGGCATATGCAACTTAATAAGAATATTTATCATTTAAATATGATATTTTATCATTCCAAATACTTTAAAGAATTTGTCTATGGGCTAGATCTGGGAATCAATCTCGTTTACTCACACAAGGAGATAAGTTTTATTCGATGTCATTAGATCATTTTGAAGCAGAAGTTTGGGCTAAGGGCCAGATATACCCTTATAGCTGAACTTAAGCTTTGTATGCATATGAGTTGACCTCGTTCTCGTAACTTGGTCTTGTTGTCATGGCGACTTAGTTGAACAACTATAGTATTCAGCATAATTCCCAGCATCACACCGTGGACCTGATATATTCTCAGACGTTTCGCCGGCATCATTGAGTCTTGTCATTCTCAGTATCAAGCTACAACTCGTCAAGGAGTCAAGTGAAATCAAGACATGTCTGACGAATTGTAGTTTGGTGCTGAGAATGACAAGGCTCAATGATGATGCAGGCGAAACGTCTGAGAATGTATCAAGTCCACGGTCTGATGCTGGGAATTATGCTAAATACTATAGTTGTCAAACTAAGTTGCTATGACAACAAGATCAAGTTACGAGAATGAGGTCAACCCACTTCTTAATTTTTTTTATTGAGAAGGCTTTCAAGACTACAAATAGATCACAAGTAGATAAGGCGCATTCATCCTATTCTGTTTAAGGGGCTAAGGGGATTCATAGTTGAATTTTTCCACAGTATTATTATAGAATGTTTAAAATCTTTTAATATCGGCAAATTCAAAGAGACAAGTGAAGCCAATCCTTTGACCAAGCGTATGCTAAACAATTATGGTATCTCCCCTTCCG